ACTAGCAAAGCCTCTTCACTATAAGATACAAACTAAGATTATTTGGTACCTGTTTGTTAGCTGATTTTATGAATAGTTATGTTATGGCCTGACATCCAATTAACAAATACATGATTGGTCTGGCTTCATGTAGTTTATCATTATGGAATGATGGTTACCTTTTATCATATTGGTAAATTATCTGATTGTGACATTTTTTTCAAGCTTACACTGTTAGCTAATTGATTTTATTCTTGTGTCTGAAGGATGGGCCTTGCCCCATGATAATCTTGTTAATTGATTTTATTCATGTAGTTGCCCCTTGGCAACTTGGATGACCATGATTCTATCAATGTAAATAGCCTTCCTCTTTGCAGGAATAAGTCAGTCCTATTTTATGTGGAGTGTATAAGCAACAATGTATCCAGACAGTATAAGTAGCCATGTGTCAGATTTCTTCTTTTGTAGGATCACTGTCTCTTGGTTATTGCTAGTATTGAGCCATATCTATTTATGAATATAACAAATATCCACAATTGAACACATCAGAATCTGATTTGTGAAGTTACTTTGCGTTTGTCTTTCTTGGTTGCTTGCATTCTGCTATTTTTTTGCTGTTTAGAAATAACTCATGTATAATGCTGGGCAATTCCTTTCTGAATTAGATGATTCTGTATTATAAGCAGTATTCCAGTATTAATCTGTTTCTGTTTTTCAAACGATTCTTTGGTTCAGACCAAGAAGCTGTTGGAAGCAGTGAGCCTCCGAAGAGGCAACGCCGCTGGAATTCAGAAACCATAAAAGTTCCTGAACAAGCATCCAATCTTGGTACATCAAGTACACCTAAGGATGCATTTCAACCAACTCCTAGACGGATATTCCCGAAGTCTGATTCAAAGCCCAGCGGAGATGCCCAGAAGGAACGCATTGGTGAGATTAAGATACTTCATATCCACAATGTTTGTGTCAAATGTAAATGATTTTATTTGACTGAATGTTGTCTACATTGCAGTGCCTCCATCACAGAAGCCTGCAACCACTTCACTGAGAATTGACAAGTTCTTGCGTCCGTTCACTTTGAAAGCAGTTCAAGAACTGCTTGCAAAAACTGGAACCGTCTGCAGTTTCTGGATGGACCACATCAAAACCCATTGCTATGTGACCGTATGTTGTTCGTGCTTTATTATGTTTTTCTTAGCTCTTATATTTATTACCATTTTGTTATCATAATTCACAGTTATATTGGTTTTCACCTTTGCTTGCCATTTAGTTTCTTACAGTAGGACTGACTAGTTCAATCATTAATTTTGTGTATGATTCTGCTCATTTATAATCTTATATTAAATTTTTTTTAGACATCAAGGGAGAAAAAGATAGCATGTATCAGTATTTATATCAGGATTGTTTTTGTAGATGTTCTATACATTTAAATTTTTTGATAAAAATGGTGACTGTTAGGGTGGCGGGAGGTTGCCTTCTTTGTGTCTTTGCTTGGACCTTGACAATCATCTATCAATCTACACCTAGGCAGATACCTAACAGCTGAGGAATGCCTAGGCTCAGTTTAATCTGGCCGTTGAGCATAAGTCTGGATCAACTTTCTAGTGGCCCATGAATCAAACAATTAAATATTACTGGCTCAAATTTTATTATTGGGTCTCATGCCTCACTGTAAGATAAATATATTATTAAACATTGTGACAAGAATGCACTGATTAGGAGACAGCGGACTTGCTCATGTGTTGGGGCCACTGGCCAAGTTTATAGTTTGAAGGCTTCATCTCAACCCTCATTATTCTTCATTTGGTGGTTACTTGAGAGATACCAAGCCTATTCTTGACTATTAAATCAAGAAGATGGTTGAAACCGCCAGGCTTTAAGATGAAACCTTTAAACTGTTTTTCTCGATCCTACCCTAAAGATGAAGGAAAAGAGGGTGATGACATTAATTCTTCTCTCTTTTCCATTTCTCACTTTGTATCCTTTTGTTTTCTCTTATTATAAAAAAATTCTGGTTGTTAAGGTTTTCCACATTTCTTTGTTTTTTACTTTTCTATATCATGTTTGAGGAAGGTTGTTTTGATTATGAAATTAAATTGAATAGATATCTATTGTTTTGGCTTTTCATTATATATAGTTCTTGTTGATTTTCAAATCACTTCTATTGTTACTCCTTTGTTAGCATCTTGACTGTTTGAGGAAGAATGTTAGGCAACTGGCTAGCATCTAGATTGGCTATTGGCCACCCGTTTGTTGCCTTTTCTGCAATAGTAATTTGTAACTGTTCATCCTTCTTTATTAGCTATCTGCCATCTGGTTGTGCATTTTATGGTGGATGCTGTTTGTCAGATGGAGCTTCATATCCTTAATGGCGAAAAGGGAGGGGAGGAGGGTGAGTGGGATGTTAGGGTGTCCTGTGGAATGGAAAAAAGAGAAAGGAGCACTGACAAAGAACTAAGTGAATGAAACAAGTTATTTGATATCCAATTATCAGCTTTGGAACTTAGACTTTTATGTCTGGCCACTTTTTGTAGGAACCTTGTCGGTTGAATAAGGCAATATGATCTTAAATGTCATGGTGTAATGCCTTTGAAAATTAGAATATTCTAACTATCAAGGATACTTGCTCACTCTGCTTGCGGCCTTTGTCTTGAACTATGGTTTAAAATTGGCTTATGCCTATGGTATGGAGCTCAGCTGCTGAAATGGTCATCAGCAATTAGGAATAGTAATAATGTGCATTCTTTGAACTTTGTAATCTAGGTATCCATCATAGTTCTCTCTCCCTGTGTTTGAACATTTCTTAACTCTGTTTATCATTTGCAGTATTCTTCGGTGGAGGAAGCCAATGCTACACGAAATGCTGTTTACAATCTCCAGTGGCCTCCCAATGGTGGGAATCTTCTGATCGCAGAGTTTGTTGATCCCCAAGAAGTCAAGGCACGTGTTGAGGCCCCACCGCAATCACCGGCACCTATCAGCCCAAGCCCGACCGCAGCCAAGGCTACAAACTTTCAACCACCTCAGGCAGCCCAACCCCCTACTCGTCAACATTCTTTTAGGCAGCAGCTGCCTCCTCCCCTTGCAAAACCTCCGACACTGTCTGATGCACCTACCGTAAGAGAGCGACTTCCCCCGCCACCGCTGCCGCCACCTTCCACGGAGCCAGAACCACCTGCATTGACACTTGATGATCTCTTTCGAAAAACCAAGGCTACCCCCAGGATCTATTACTTACCCTTGTCCGAAGAAGTGGTAGCATCCAAGCTTGCAGCACAGGGCAAAAGCAGCATCAAGGGATAGGTAGAGAGCTCCAAGCTGCAGCAAGAAAGTAGTTTGTTTGTTAAATGGTGTGTAGTTTTTGCAGACAACTTGATGCCTATAGGTCCAGATGTTTGTCAGATGAGTCCCATCTCTCTCATTCAGATCTCCATTAGGTTTTATCATCTGCTGTTCTGTGAGAGACCAACCAGCAGGGAAATATATTCAGTAGTTAGTAAAAGGACATGTTGTAGCGTAGCTTAGCTGCTGAGACGGTATGATGTAAGGGAACACTAAAGCAGAACTTGTTATGCTTCTTGCTGAGTAGAGTAGTTTAGCACTATCCAATTCTCGACTCTAATGAACGATACTCTTATGTTTTTTTTTTGGATACCAATCTGACATTTTTACCTGGAAACAACACCTTATTAGTTCATTCATATGGACCACCGTGGAGACACTGACCGACTCTCTCGGGCATAGCTTTTCCTACTGTTTGTGCATGGTGGCCCGGCCGAGGAGGCTTGCTCTTCTTCTTTCTTGCACACTTGCTCTTTCTCTTTTTTCCACAGTTGTTTTCATGCTGGAAAAAGGAGATGAAAGACTGGCCAAATTCTAGAGTTCTTTTAGGGGCTATTTGAATACTGCCATTATCAATAAGCTAAATGCCAACTCACGATCATGGCTATCACATTTAATGCTGGAGAGGACACGAAGAAGACTATGAGCACATCCTATTGGTAAATAAAGTTGACTGGTGCAAACGTAATACTAACTTTTTTAGTTTTCTCCTACAATGATGACATTGACTAGTAATAATCCCCCCTCCCCTCCTCAAGTCTTGTCTTCCATATCCATCCAAAGATGCTGCGGCCTGAGGTTTCGTTCAGACCTACCGTCCCAAGTAGTTCGAGTTAAATCTTACTTATGCTCGATTAGTTTAAGATCTAATCTTACACGATGATCCAAAAATAAAGATTTCGAATCATGAATCATCATACATGAGATTAGACTCGATGAAATATCTAATGTAACTTGTTCCACATCATCAAAGAGAGCAAGCAGCCTATGTGAAGTCATCTATCGATCTCGCTGTCATCCTTTGTGAACTCATCTGGTGATCTCATCACCTCATCGGATTCAATGTCATTTAGTACTACAGTCTGTGATGTTGACATGATCGAGAATGATCGAACAAGGCATTTTCCATACACAAACACTCGACCCTCAATATACCTCAAATTGTTCGCATTTGAGATATGGACAATTAGGGTTGACATCAAGTCAAGTTGAGATAGATTTCTATCCAAATCATTCCCATTATCCCAACCATACACGCATGACCACTTGGAGAAAGCTTTGATTGATGGCTCCGGAAATTTAGGGGAGCCTCACCGATGGAAACCCGCATCTAATTATAGAGATCGATAAGGACCCATTCGATTTAGTCGAAGCCAAGCCAATGGTCACATGAACACAGCTAATATCTGCTCAGCTCGACTCGTCATCTCTCCGACAGCAATAGGTGATTGTAGCTCGAAGAAGGAAGGAAGGATCCAATATGAACTCACATCTAAATCGTTGCTATATCTAAAAAAATAATGCATATTTTAATTTGTTGGTTGCAGAGTTATGCCATTGACTATTCTTTTTTTTCCATTAATATAGGAAGGTAGGAATAGAAATAACGAATCAGGTTTCCATTATTTTACAGCCGCAAAATTGGAAAAAACAGGCCGCAAAATGGGGAAAAAAAAGGAGGATGATGTAAGAAAATGGCGGATGCTGATGTCCAGATTTGGATGTGTCCACTTGACGCATCGTTTTACTGTGTCCAGATTATGTTATATATAGACAAGCGAAGAGCGAGACGATATCTCCTTACCGAGAGAGAGAGAGAGAGAGCAGTGAAGCTATATCTACTTACCGCTTTCGGTCTTTGGCTGGGGAATGAAACCCTGGTTAGGGTTTCGTCGCTCTTCTATGCAAGGTATGCCCCCATTCTCGAGCTGCATAAAAAAAGTTTCGATTTTTGGGTCGTTTTTGTAGATCTTGGAGAGAGAGAGAGCAGTGAAGCTTTATCTACTTGCTGCTTTCTGTCTTTGGCAGGAGAATGAAGCCCTGGTTAGGGTTTCGTCGCTCTTCCTTGCAAGGTACGCCCCCATTCTCGAGCTGCATAAAAAAAGTTTCGATTTTGGGGTCCTTTTTGTAGATCTTGGAGAGAGAGAGAGAGCAGTGAAGCTATATCTGCTTGCTGCTTGCTGCTTTCTGTCTTCAGCAGGGTAATGAAGCCCTGGTTAGGGTTTCGTCGCTCTTCTTCGCAAGGTACGCCCCCATTCTCGAGCTGCATCAAAAAAGTTTCGATTTTGGGGTCGTTTTTATGGATCTCGGAGCTTCTCGATTAATTGGGTTGATTTGGCTTCTGGGTGGATCAAAGTTCGATCTTTTCTTTTTTATTTGGCTTCTCTTTGTTGATTCGTTGTTCTATCTGTGCTTCCGTAAAGAAATCGTTGCCATCGATGGATATTTTTTCTTTCATTTCCTAAATTGAAAATTCTTTAATTAGGGATTGGGATTTTCTTTGTTTAGTCGTATTCATTTTTTTCCTTAGCCGAATTAGAAAAAAAGCTAATTAAATGCTTCCCTAAGTGAGCGGGTTAATTAATCAAATGATTAATCCAAAAAAATTTGCTTCCTTGAGAGAACCCTTCTTCCTCTCTGGTCACACCTCTCACCAATTCATCAATAGTTTCAAGAGGAGAGCGACGACCGTCTTGGGGGAGGAGAGGTCGACCCTCTATTTTTTTTCCTTTATTTGAAAATTTTTATTTGCTAATGTTTTTGAAAAATTCGAGTCGAAAAATATTATACTTTAAAAGATCATGATAGATAGATGATAATATCACTCGAATCAGTTTAACTTCGGAACACGATTAATGAAATGCAATTTTATTTTCAGTGGATTTGATTTGATTTGATTAATTAATTTTATGAAACCATTCATTTTAAGTGGATTTAACCATTTTGCAACATCTTAAGTATTTAGTTTAGCATGTTTATTTAAAGAATTTCATGCATTCATTCATTAAGCAAGTTTGTTTATTATTGATTTCATTAGAATTTCATGTTGCATTGAATTAGATTGCATTATTCAATTACATATTGTACTAAAAGAGGGAAAATTAAAATTTATAGGTGTAATATAAAATGGAAAAATTAAAATTGATTTGATTGGGCCAGGCCAATGGCCCACAAGGGCCCAAAAGTGCGCCACGTGCAAGCTAGCCTGTGGCTCCTTGTGGCTTAATCTGAGCCTTGTATCTTGGCTGAACCAGACCAATTTGACTCGTTCATGTCGGTTTAGGGTGATTCTAGATCAATTTTGATAGGTTTAATGAGCCTGTTTGGCCCAACCAAGTTAGACCAATTAGACCAGTTTATGATGATTTCAGACCGAGTCGATAAGGATATGTGGTTGGATCCTAGCTGAACTATGTCCGGTTTGAGTCAGTTGGACAAATTCAGCTAGGGTTTAGATTAATTAAGGGTTGTAACGAGATTGACACATTTTGATTTTATGATTTAACACATTTAAAAGATATTAAGTTATGTTATTAATTGGGCAATCAAGTCCAATTAGACCAGTTTAGGATGATTTCATACCGAGTCTATGAGGATATAATATATGGTTGAATCCTAGTCGAATTATGTCCGGCTTGAGTCAATTGGACAAATTCAGCTAGGGTTTAGATTAATTAAGGGTTGTAATGAGATTGACACATTTTGATTTTATGATTTAACACATTTAAAAGCCTTATATTGAGTTATGTTATTAAATTTGAGAATGATTTTCAATTTCTAAGTTTAAATGATATTTAACATTGAAGTTGATAATATTAATATGATTGTTATCATGGGATATATGTGGCTATGGTGAGTGATCCGTATTGGAAGTGTCGATGTGAACGTAGCTTAAGAGCCCATCGTAGTGCAAAGCCACCAATAGATCGAGTCTCTCATGCCATATGCCAAGCATAGTCGATCAATATATTTTTTATCACATGGTCTCTTTGGATGCATGCACGAATAAATGGAAATGAACCATTGTGATATATGATAATATTTGAAGACTTTGTTTGGGATGGCTAGTATTGTTAGGGATGAGCTGACCGCTAAATGTGACAACTCAACGGTTCCTCCATTTGTCCTTGTTGGAAGGAACGTGTCCCACCTTGGTTGATGAGGAATACCGCTTCATTCGTTATTGGCAGCGCGACATGAGTTCTCTCCATCCGTTATTGGGAGCGCGACATGAGTTCTCTCCATCCGTTATTGGGAGAACATAGAATTCATATTGTGTAGTATGCCTCTTCATTCACTATTGGGGGATGTGCCATCGAATGGCTGCTGATCGCCTATGTTGTATGTGGATGTCACTTGATAATTGTGTATATGATCAAGATATGGTACATGAGTTTATCGCATAAGAATGATTATTTCTTATGATGATTCATAAGTTCTTATTAGATATGAGTTTCACGAAGTATTACTTTATTTTTATTTCATATAGAAGTGTATTATAATGGTTGGAAATGTTTAATGAATAAAGCTTCCTTTTTGTTGTTTGACGATCGCTTGGTGTTGCGTGTTGCAGATTCCCTCGACGACTGTAACTGTTGGTTTTCTGAAAGGGTTGTCGAAGCATTCGGGCCAAAAGAGAAAAGGCCAATGGGTTCATTCTTGAGTTTACCTCATAGCAAAGCTCGACTACTGCAGCATCGCAAATCCTTCGAACTAGAAGACTGTAAGAGGCTAAGGATGTCAGCCAACTACGGTAGTGGAAACACAAGGTTGATCCCTTGTTTGCCTGATGAGATTTCACTAGAGATCTTAGCCAGAGTGCCTAGAATTTGCTATCTGAACATGAAGATGGTTTCTCGAAGATGGAGAGCAGCTCTCTCTGGTGCTGAAGTTTATCAGTTAAGAAAAGAACTCGGGAGAACTGAAGAATGGGTTTACATATTGACAAAAGTCGAAGATGGTAAGCTTGCATGGCATGCTTTAGACCCTCGGTCGGGGAGATGGCAAAGGTTGCCGGCGATGCCAAACACCCAGAGGGGCTCCTTAGGACTGTGGCCAAGGATCCTGATGGATCCAAGCACCAAATTTGCTGACATGGTTAGAAGTTGGCTTGGTACGACGGATACCTCGATAAATATGCCATTCTATGGTTGTGGTGTCGGCACGGTCGACGGATGTCTCTATGTGTTAGGTGGACTGTCAAGTTCTTCAGCAATCAAGTCTGTCTGGAGGTATGATCCCTGTGCCAATTCATGGCAGGAATCGAGTCCAATGACGATCGGAAGGGCTTTCTGTAAGACGAGCGTGTTGGATGACAAGCTTTACGTCGTCGGCGGTATTACGAGGGGCAAGAAAGGTTTAACTTCTTTACGGTCTGCCGAAGTATATGATCCACGGACAGGGTTGTGGGCACCGGTGCCGAGCATGCTGTTCTCCAAGTTCACCATGCCTGTTGCGGCGGGAGCGACGACGTACAAGGGCAAGCTGTGCGTGCCTCAGAATCTATACTACTATCCATTCTACGCCGATGTCGGCGGCGAGATGTACGATCCCAAGACGAACACCTGGGTGGATATGCCCGCCGGCATGGGCAAGGGTTGGCCGGGCAAGCAGGCGGAGACTAGTCTGAGCATAGGGAGTAATCTGAGCACGGTGTTGAACGGCGAATTGTATGCCTTGGATCCGTGCGACGCTGCTGCGGAGGGTGCTCAGATAAAGGTGTACGATCAGGAAGATGATGTATGGAAAGCGGTGATGGGAAGAGTTCCCGTCCATAACTGGAGCAATTTTGGAGCACCGTATCTGCTCGTCACTCTCCTCGGGAAGCTCCATGTGATCGCCAAAGAATTCAACAATGAGACTCGTGTATTGCGAGCAGATCCGAAGCATTCATGTTCTTCCTACTCCACTTGGTCGTCGTCATCTTCTGCTGCAACCATCTTCTCGAGTCGAAATCCCGACAAATCACCTGAGACGGAACGCAACCTCTGGGAGGTGATCGCCGCTAAGAATTTTGGCACAGCACAATTTGTCGCTTGCCGAGTGCTTGCTATTTAAAGGATATCAAAACAGTGGTGATGTGAAATTAATCGAGTCGATCTCTCTCGGATGGATGAATCTAAATAGTTTAGGAGAAAAGAGAATCCATTGTCGTTTCTTCTTCATACAAACACACACACAATCAAAAGAAGACGAGTGGGCATCATCACAATGACCCAAATCAAGCAGAGAAGAGACCATCAAAGGCGGCCACACCAAACGAGCTTCGTGGTTCCACGGCGGTCTCCACTTCCTTGGAGGAAGATACCTTCTCCCTGGCCTGCCTTCCGAGAGCCGAACCAGCGAAGGAAGCCAAGGAACTGAAGCACTCCTCTCTCCTCCTCTTCCTCCCATGGTCTTCTTCCGTCTCCCACCGTTTTCTGCTCCTCTGGAAGTCCTCCGCCACCAGAAGAGCTATGTCTGCCATCCCGATTCTTCGAGGTCTGATGCTGATGCTCTAAGCCTCGATGGGTCTCCTTCGCTTATATGATGTGTAAGAGCTCATCCCCGTGTCCTCATTGCCGGTGTTCGGTGCCATTATGGATAAGGCATGCTTGTCTTTTTCTGCTTTGATTACTGTTCCCTGTTCGCAGGATGCTCCTCATTGGATTGGTTCTATCCTTGTTGGTGTCAACAACAGTGGCCACCTGCTACTGTAAGTTGGCTAAAAGCCTACTAACTAAGAAGGCGAGTAGTGATTTGTTAGCTTCAAAATTCCTTCCACATCTTCAAGAAAAATACCTAAGTTACTTTGGCAGGAAGCTTCACGAGTGGATCCAAAGCAAGCCAAGATAATGTTCCTTAATCCTTTCAAGTGTGTGGATTGGGTGGGGATTTGGAGGACGTCAGATGTAATGTGTCTCATTAACAAAGACCTCCATTATCCACTCTATCCATCCTGTGATGGGAATGTGACGAGACATCAATGGCTACAGGGAAGAAGGTGCTCTGTTTCTGGTCTTCGATATGCTCGTCGCTCGGTAAAGTTCATGGTATGTTGCCGCCTGAGCCACATGGGTTGTGCATTGCCTGATAGCTACACAATCTTTTGGAAGCATGTAGCCATGAGAGCTTGTCATCTTTAAATGAAACTGGAACTGCAGATCACATGGGAAGACAGAGGAACAATGCATATGATGGCCATTCACAACACCTAATTCTAAGCATCATCAAGTTTCCTTCGGCATGTCCATCCAATGTAAAGCTCAACTGGGCAATTACATTCTCTCTCTACTTTGAGACCTGACATCCAACCTAATCTGATGGTTCTATGTTATAGCATATCATTTAGCCCCTTGTGTAATAGATAGATCCTTTCCTTCTCTAAATTGACTTTTATCACATTACAGTCATTACATCATATTGATCTACAGATTTCACAAAAAATATTTCTGGCATTATCAAAATCATCCATCTATCAGCATTAAGGATGAAAAGATACCATTCCCCATCATCAAAAGTCAAAACATAAGTTGAGACTTTTACTACAGATGAAAAGATATGCATCAGCTACAAAGATATTTTACTACATATCTCCTCCATGTGAACATTAAATCCATTCAACATACACAATTCTCCTACACTGGAAGAACAGAAACCAATTATCCTCCTGATAATAAGCTTACAAATCAGGTGTGCAACAAACTGCTGATGGTAGAACTATGGAGAGAGAGCACACAGAAAACCAAAAAGCATCCAAAGTGCATGAGAGAATGATATTACAGTGGCAAATCCCACCTTCATGGCAGCCTGCCTTCAGTTCTAATTTTTAACCAAGGGATACACAACGCAAAATATCAAATCAAACAACGACAGGTGATTTGAGAATGCAAGACTAATTCAGTGCACCGGAAGCCTATAGAGAATCCAAGTGGTTGATCAAGTCCCCATCAATTCTAAAATGTAGGAACTAAAACATATTTCAGTGTTACAAGTGCGCTGACAAATTCACCATAAGATAAAAAAGGAATATGATATGCTAAGCACTCAGTTATCCTAGACTTCAGATATGTATCCATACAACAATTTGGTATTTACTCCAAAGAACAAAACAAAACAAAAACAAAAACAAAATTTTAGTGCAAACAGAAAGGTTCAGCATGGCAGTAGTCCTTAATATAGCTGCTTTCTGAACTACAAATGAAAACATACATCAGAGACCATGGAAGGAACATGTGATAGAGAGACAACCGAGTCTGATAGAGAAGCATAGCGATACGCCACAATCTCTAGCATTTTATATGTCCCAAAAAAAAAAAACAACCGAGTTTTCTGGTTTCAGCTGTGCCTAATCATGTATAAAGAATTCATCAATTAAACTACTTAAATTTAAGAAAAAAATGTAGATTGTCATATTAAACAAAGCCAAGTGTAGAAATGGAAGCCGAGACAGACATTTGAAACAGATTTATGGTCTTCCAAGTGGGAGTATGAGTTTCTAAGCCAGAATATGTAATAAGCACCACAAAATGAAAGTTAAGCGAGTTCAGTACGAAGTGACAGCTTCAAGAAGTCAGACAACAAGACAGGCAGGCAGACCAGCCAACCACTGATGTATCAAGGTTAAAACACACCCAAAATACCTGTCCACGCTTTGCTACTAAGAGTTGCTTTAATTAATAAAGTCACCACGAGAGAATATAATTTCATCAAATTACAGAAATATAATGACCTAATATTTGCTCAGCAAGTTTTGATTATGAGAATCATTCATGAAATTTATTAAATATGTGTCATGCAACTATAACAAATAATGTACTCTAACCTACCAAAGCTCATGAACTCTCCCATAAGAGTTTCATGTTCTCCAGTATTCCATTAAAACTATCTAATGCCTGACTTAAAAAGCACAACTAATTACATTGTCGGATGTCGCATTCTACCTTGATGGCTTGCTAAGTGCAAATCTTAATAAAATGGTCTCGGACCCCAGTGTATACAGTAAAATTCAGTAAATAAGCTACACTACATGTATAACCACTTATAGGCGGAAGCCATAACAAGAGATGACATCTCTGACAAAATGATTACCAGAGACAAGAAGCCTTGTGGTACCAGTTAAAATAACAATGAGAGAGGCCCGAATGAAATTAAACCTTCCTGCTTAAATGCTCACCCTTTCCAAGCTCCAGGTTAGCTTCCACTGTAGTTATCTTTTACGATAAAGTACATGGAGAAAGTAGACAAAAAACCAAAATTGTTTGTGAAAGCATAATATATGTACTTTTGCATACATCCAATAAGACACCATATGATAATGTCAATGCCTGCCTCCTGCTTCAAAGCAATAGGCAATCAGCCCATCGATAGAAGACATTGATCAAGTACTCAGCAACCGCAAGTGCCACATGCAAGTGCTATCAAGAAAACGAAACATTCAGGACTAAATATTGTATGACATAGTTTGACCAAATTGCATAATCCAGGAAAGAGCCAGTAATAATCTAAATCACATAATCGAATCTAATAAGGGAAGTTTCCTCACAATCATAAGCATAATAAAAATCCAGAACGAAAATGAACTGGAGAGCCAACGATAAAAGAAAAACATGAAAGGTCGAAACTTTCAGAGGAAAGACAGATTGCAGAACCCCTCGGAGCTAACGGTACGACTTCTGGAACCGAGCGCGTGCGCCGCGACCACCGAACTTCTTGGGCTCGCATCGGCGGGGGTCGGCTACAAGGAGGGTGCGATCGTAGCGACCGAGGATGTCCTTAATCTCCTTCTTGGACTGCTCGTCAACGTACTTCTGGTGGTAGGCTACAAGGGCCTTGGCGATACTCTGGCGTATGGCGTATATCTGGGAGGTCTTTCCGCCGCCCCGGACGCGGATGCGGATGTCGACGCCCATGAAGCGCTGCCGCCCGAGGAGGAGGATGGGCTCGAACGCCTTCAGGCGGAGGATCTCCGGCTTCACCAGCTCGATCGGGACGCCGTTCACCTTGATCAGCCCGCGGCCGCCCTTGCAGTGCGCCACCGCCACAGCCGTCTTCTTCCTTCCGAAGCACTGAACCGACTCCACCGCCGCCGTCGCCATCGCCGCCGCTTCGAGCTCGGGAAGAGATGGGAGAGACGAAACCCTAACCTCGGGAACTCTCCGCGCGTTGGCGAATCGAACTGCGCATTGTCGCTTATATAGTGGACCGGAATAAGAATTAGGAAGCGGTCGAGCCCTTGGTCTTTATTCAGACCGGACGGAGCCGGTTTGGTTCAATTTGTCGTAAATTATTACTTTTTCACTCCACTTTATTTCTCATATTTACATTTCACCCCAAATTGGGGACTTAAATTAGAAACAATGGAAGGAAGAGGTCTTTTTAGAAGAGTGCCCCGAAAACGACGCTGCCTTCGTATTGCGCTCCTCGTTCAAATCCGATCGCTCCATAGATCGAAGCATCGGCCACTGCGACGGCGATTACTTCCTCTGGTCTCCCCTGCTGCCTTCGAAACCCACCTCTCACCCTCCCCGAATCCCTTCTCCCAATGCCATACCCCGAGAAAAACCCTAAATCAAGAATCGTTCCCGCCCGATTCATTTCAAGAATCCGGTATTGAAGTCATAGTCCTTCTCTCGTCGATCAATTTGGGAAAATCCTTGGCGAGGAAGCTCATCAGCGTCTCCGATGCTCGCTACGCTCCGATCTCGCTTCCATCTGCTGCCCTTCGTTAATTTCAGGTAATTTCTGCCCTTTTTCTCTCGCGCTGTTGTCTTTCCCTTCTTGACAGTGAAGTGTATTAGTTTTCTGAACGAGAGAGAGAGAGAGAGAGAGAGAGAGAGAGAGAGAAAGAGAGAGAGAGAGAGAGAGAGAGTCTCTGATAATGTGGCATAGGAATCATGTATCTTCCGATTCAACATGTATCTTCTGGAGATCGTATCCAACAGCATGTTGTAGGCCTTATCCAACAAAAGTTACCTCTTCGGCAACTACAAGTTTCGAAAGACACATCTAACCCTCCCTGAAAATTTATAAGTACGTTTAACCATGGCAACTCACTTAGAATTTGGCTTCCGTAACCATATGTCATCGGTAGAAACATGAGATAGTCTATCACTGAGATTCTATTCAGAGCCTTAGAGCAAAATTATGCATATATACTTTTTAATCCAGCTTCCAAATTGATAAATATTAGCTACGTGAATAGGATCTGCATCCATATTCATGTTAGGAAAAGGTAAGATTCAAAGCAATAGGGATCTGATAAAGCCAATTATTTCATAAGATATTGATAGTTCCACAATCAATAAATTTAAGCAACCCTGAATGAAGCATTTCCATAGTTTTTAATAGGAGTTTCTAGCACCAACTCCCCTTGGAAGAAGTATAACACTAATAGAGAGCCGCTTCTCCTGGTTTAGATAATAGGTACATTACATTCTCTCCTCAAAGAAAATTTTGGTGATGTGCAAGTCATGAGTCCCTAAACCCCCTTGATTTTAGGCAGGATGACTTTCTCCTGTGTAATGAGATGCATGTTTATGGTATTGAAATCCTTTTGCTAGAGAAGCTCCTCAACACGATGTTCAATTGTATTAAAGATAACGTCCAACGTCCAAGATATACTAAAACTATGGAAAAGAAAAACATTATTAACAAGTTAGTCAACACGAAAAATAGAATCATGTCTGTTACCTAGTTTACTATTTATACACTGTAAAATGCAATCATAAACACCAAAAGATATTTGTCTAGGGACTATTAAAGCTTTAACATATTTAAAAGGATATCGTCCTTGTTTAATATTGAAAAGGAGCATGCACCATCTTATCAATAGGTTACTGTAACATGACCCAAATAGACATTAAAAAAAAAAATACAAAAATCTTGTCCCAAATGAATGGGTCACCTTGCTGTGAGGAACCTTAGATCTATAAATTTCTTGTTTGCCTGATCTATCTGTTTAGGCTGACATCATATGGGCCAAATATGGGTTACAGACCCCTTGATATATAAATTTTCATTTAAGGCATGCTTGGAGTGGGTGGTTGCTTACCCAATCTATGCATCTTTAAGCCTGGATTCTCTAAAATAATTGGAAATGATATGTTGGAGCCTTTGTATCACTGAAAGAGTTAGAACCAACTTTCTGTTTATAGAGTATTATAGTAGTCAGTAAACAATATGTAGTCAGTATTATAGTATCTTTAACCTTTTGTTTCTGTTGACTTGCATTTTTGGTAATTTTAATAGGTTGCCGAATATTAGTTGTACTAAGGAAGTATTCCTGACCAAAAAGCTTCATTTTAGTCATTGTCCTTGGCAAGGTTAGGTTTCAATATTTAGGTTTTGACAAAGCATGCTGACACTCATAAACAGTGGCGACTTGAGCACTAGTCTGGCGTGGAGTGTTGTAAATGTTAATCATGTTTGTTCTCCATCTTACTTTCTCAATGGGTATTAACAACGACGATATTAGATGTAGCAAATTAAGTTTTCATACCATACATGGCATCAAAACAACTTTAATCTAAGTGTGCATATCAAATTGTGTGTCAAGTGAAAGCCACGTCTCAATGCAATCATAAGAAGCATTTTATTACGGTTAATACCAATACTGTCGCTCTTCTTCGTATGCTATCTGGTTCTGGTAAGCACTAAGCAGTAATGCAATTCTCTCTCTGTGCAGTTTGAAATAGCAAGCTCAGCGGCTGCATGGATCGGTGTGGAATGTAAATTCTGTAGTTTCATCAAGGTGCTTAGTGGTGAGCACGCCAACGACGATAGTAGCGAGTCTATGTACTATTTTGTCTTTCATAAGTAATGTCCTTAACAAAGTTGTTATACTTATCAGCCAAATCCTCATAAAGACAACTCACACTCAGATGCTAAGTTTTCTGTACTCCGCTTTGATGCTCCAGAGTTTGGAAGTAGGCATCCCCACCACCATCACTGTAGCAGTTTTGAGGTCGAAGATGTTGATTATCTTCAGGTATGCATAAAAACAAATTAGCAAGGAACTGGTAAACACTGTTTAACATTGTTATCATGATCTGGATTCTCACTCTTGCAGGGAAATTAGTCTGGCCCTGATTTTATACATATGCATATATATCTTTTTCCAACTAGAATACAGATGTTTTGATATATATATATTTATTTCTTTTTTTTCTGTACCAGGATGAGAAGTTGGTGATGTGCCTGGTAATATATATCCTTGAATTAAACATAAATTTATTATTTGGTATCAAATTGTGTGCCCCTTTTTCTTGGCACTTTATGTTAATTGTCTACTATTTGTTGTTATAATTAATTTATACTATGTACATATTATCAGTGTTATTGATTTACTATCAGAAATAGAGTACAATTAGCTGAAGAATTACTTTGTTATACGAATTAACATATGTCCAACCAAAGCTATACATAAACGTTGTAACAATAGATAGTTACCTTCTTTTATCAATTATTTATGTTCCATGGTTCCGATGGTAGTAACATTCATATCGAGATGCATCTGCACAATGATACAGCAAAATAAGATACATGTGCTACATACTATGCACATACAAACAAATAGACGTATCCACGAAACGATCCAGAAATATAATAATGCTCCATGACATAGAATTTAATTTTCAAACAGCTTATCATTATGATATGAATGATAGATAGATATTCTAAACGTAAAGACATGTTAGTTTATGTAATTATATATATGATATAAAGATTCCGATCAGCTATGAACCCTTTTATTTTTATTTTTATTTTATTTTTGTTTAAAATAACTAAAATTTAATTTCTCACGGGGAGGGGAGGGGACTTTTTTTTAACCGTATGAATTCTGATGGGAAAAAAACTTGCTTGGATCCAATAAGAAATGGTAACTGTTGGATTCTGAATCGGACGGCATCCCTTCCCGTCGTCGTCGATGGTGAACGGATCACGGATACCCGACGATCTTCGAACTTATTTTTCTACCGCGACGGCCTCCTTGCATTGTCATTGGCGGTCGATTGCGGGGTCCGAAGGCCCGCGTGGCCGGACGACTGGATTCTGATCACCGCAGGTGAGATTAGGTAACCGAAATTTGGACAATTTGGGACGATTTTGAATTTTTTCGGGCTCTTTGGCATCAGTTTGGTCGGCGGTATATACACCGTTTGGTATCGGGACCTTTATGTTTGTTTCCTTTGACGATGATTCTGATCACCTCCGGTGAGAGTAGGCAAACGAAAAGTTCACTATATGAGCCCATTTTAAATTTTTTGGGCTTCTTTCACTCGAGTCTGGTGTGCGGTAAGAGCACCTGCAGGTTTCCGTAATCTTTTATTTATTGTCCTTAAGATCACCTCGAGTGAGAATAAGAAACAGAAATTTGAACGATTATAAATTATCGGGCGCCCCTTTGACGCCGTCTAGCGTGCGGTAAGCGCCGCAGTACGTGTTCCCAATCCCGTTTCCTTTTCCTTTACGTGACTCGTCCGTGGGTTCTGCTCACCTGCGTGAGAACAAGAAACGGCGATTTAGATGATTTTGGGTCACTTAACCAATTTTTGGGCCTCTTGGACACCCGTCTGGTGTGCGGTAAACGCACAGGCAAGTCGCGTGACCGTTTCACTTCTGTTGTTCGCACGGTCGTCTTCCGTAAGGTGCTAAAGTAGATGGAGGAGAGTTCATCTCTCTCTCTCTCTCTCTCTCTCTCTCTCTCTCTCTCTCAAGTATCCCATGGCTTGTCGATGAACATCTCTAACCACAGTATGCGAGAGAGACAGAGAGAGATAGAGAGAGAGTCATTTCGCGTACCTGCGTCGTCATTGGGGAAAAGTGGGTCCCATGGGACCCACCGGACTGAGTTGTCCCAGAGGAGAGACGACTGGCTTTTATGGACTGTGGGTGAGAATAAGACACCGAAAATTTTGGACGATCCGTGGGACGACCCTCTTGTCCTGGTTCTGCTCACCTTCGGCGAGAATAAGAAACCGAGATTTGGACGATTTGGGACAATTTTGGATTTATTTGGAGCGCTTTGACAACCGTTTGGTGTGCGGTAAGTGCACCAGAAGGTTCTGGTCACCTGCGGTGACGAGACGAAACCGACATTCGTGCCATTTTACTGCCATCTTAGAATTTTGGACCTCCTTGACGCACGCCTGGTGCGCGGTACGAGCACGGGCAAGTGTCCGTACCCACACTCGTGTCTTTCTTGCTAGATTTTTGAGTCCATCACCGCCGTGACAACTGTCGCCGTGCGGTAAGCGTGCCAGCAAGCAACTCGTCATCCTCTACGAGTACGGAATCGATCAAAGTGCCATCCTGCTGTAAAACTCGCGAAGGAGAGCTAACATTCGTATCCGACGACCAGGAATGAATCAACAAACCAAGCACGAATAATTGAGACATGTCAGATAAGGTAATCTCAAACGAAGCATGTAACAAGAGAACCACAAGTTTGGTTATGCCATTACATGGAAGCCTATCATACATCATGGAGAAACACAGAGACCAAATCGAAGGTAATTAGCAATTACCAAACCACAAAGCTGTATCGAGGCTGAAACAGTACACCAAACATGATTACAACCCATAACGTTGATGCTACTCTGTAGTGTCTTTTTGTAAGAAGTTGGATCTACTGCTTGACAACAGTCACGGGGCACGCAGAATTGCTCACTACATAGCTGCTTACGCTCCCCAAGAGCGCCCTGCGAGGACACAAGAACAGGTCGTGCCTCAAAAACATGCTAATTTGCATTATTTTGGATAATTAGATGAAATGAAAGAATGACCAAGCAAGTTCACCGTTTCAGCTTGCTCAGTCCTCTGCTTCCGACGACGAGACAGTGCAGTGGGATCTTGTCGATGGCTTCGCAGAGCAACGCCTTCGGGTCACCGTAGTATATCTTCGCGACGACTTCAACCTGCGATGAACAGAACAAAGCATAATTAATATACATGAAGCACCAGAGAGAGAGAGAGAGAGAGAGAGAGAAGAAGAAGAAGACGAAGCTTACCCCTCTCTGGTTGGCCATGTGGCGAAGGATCTCGAGCGTTTCCGAGTCGGGTGTGACGCCGTATTGCTTGGCGATAAGGGGATCTGCGAATTCATCCAAGGGAATAAAGGCTGCAAGGATGGAAGGCACTGTCAGATTACCTTATGTCCCTGACCCGAATCTCTTGTCTGGATGCGATAGATAGAAAAGGCGCTTCGACGCTCGTGTTCTTGGCGTCATGCATGCGATACTAGTTTGGGAGAAGAGGGAGAAGGCATACGTGAACCAGCACGGTGCCACAGGTGAGCCATTCCTTGCTCATTCTGGAAGCAGGAGTTGACATGGAGGAGGACGACCCGATCGCCTCCTCTCACGAAGTTGTCTGAAGCCCATCTCAGTGCCGCCTTGCTGCATGCAGAGAAGTCCACCGCCATCCCCACGTTCCTCTGGCACGCCATCCCGACGCTGCAACCAGTGACTCCAAACTAAGACCAAAGAGTGATTAGTACGATAGAGAGAGGAAGCAGCAGCAGCACAATACAAGGATAGAGAGACATCCAGGAGTCTTCAAGTTGCGTCGGATTCTGCTGTGGGGAAAGATATCTTACTTTCCAGTTCTCCTTTATTCCTCCTTCGATGTTTATCTTAGACCCACAGCTGTTCATCCTCTAGAATGCACGAAACATACAGTGAGTAGATAAGAGGCAAACAAAAACCAGCATAAGAAAAGGAACCACAGAAGATAAGATTCGAAAGCGATGTTTTTCGCCCGTGGTTAAGCTCTCCAGCGGTTGGTCATCTGCATCTTACAGTGTTAGGACGTGAGAGCATAAGATCGAACACTTGATGCGCATGCATATGATGAATCCTGATGATTCAGAAGCATATGAGCACCTGCATCACTCGTTAAAGTACAGATGGAAATTAGGAATGGCATTTTGCCTCCCAGCTCATGAACACACACCAAACACCGACTTCCTGGATCAGATAAGATAACCACCACCAAGCTTACAGTCCGACGCATACTTAGTGAACGTAAGCATAGTCTTAGTGAACGTAATTTGATACAGCAGGTAGAACTCAACGTCCAGTAGCTAAGAGCAAACTGGAAACATGAAAAGCCTCAGACAGATGAAACGACGATACAGGGGAATAAGGTTTGATTAGATGCGATCATCATAGCATCACAGGCGGTTGTACATTGCGATTAAGCCCTTCAGTTTTTCTGCTTCGGGCTTTAGGCTGTCAAAACTCATCGAGCTGGGAATCCTCCATTTCCAGTTCCCTAGCTGCAAAAGGATGCAGAATGGTGCAACACCTTGATGTCAAAAGAAATGAACTAATGGTGTCCTGTATTTTGTTTAAACTAGAGTGATTAGTCAATTAAAGCTTTAACCATTTCAGAAATGTCATGATGAAGAGGAAAAGACGAATTTACCGAAGAAACTTTGTGCAACTATTCTGCAACAAAGAACTCAATATAAGCTGATTCACCTGTGTTGCCGGAATGTTCATCCTAGCAGAACTTCCCAGACCGAGAATGTCTGGCATCGGTACAATAGCAGTCCGGGCAACCGAAGACATGGCACACTGAATCAGAGACCACGAGATGCCAGTGCCCTCGGCAAACGAAAGGTACTTCTGGACCTGTATGAAAAAGCATCAAGACATCACAAATAACAAAACTAGAGAATGGTGGTCCAATCCATGGTTTGATGCAGCAAGAGACTGAAAAGTGCTTACAGTATACTTCTCCTCCTCCCCCAAGTTTCCCCACCAACCTAGGACCTGGAACATTCATAGGATAAACAGTGAAATTTAAAGACAAATTTTCAAATGGATGTTTTGAGAAATATCGAGGCAAATGGCAGGTTTATTGATAAAATGTTCTTGTTCACAGACAGAAAATGCAGAAAACAAAATTGGAGTCTCACTGTATCATTATCGTGAGTTCCAGTATATACAACTTGCTGCGGTTCATGATTATGAGGCAAGTGCGGGTTGTCTGCATCACTTCCAAAACCTGGCCAACCAACAGCAGATGAAAAAAATAACATTTAACTATCTGAATAGAATCATACTGCATAACAAAGTATGTTTCCTTAGCTGATTTGGAGGAAGCAAAAGGGAAGATCATGTGCCCTACAAGCAAGGAGAGATTATTGTATACCAAATTGGAGAATTGCCATTCCAGGAGCATCAATATCTTTCCTTAGCTGAACAACATCCTCCGTTATTACTCCCTAGAATTAGAAGTATGTATCATGGATAAAATTACAAAGAAACTTTAAAATCACATGTGATACACAGAAAGATAAGATGATATGAATCTCATGTGTTATTGTGACACGGTGAGGCATACCAAGTCCTCAGCAATTATATCAATGTCCCCAACAGCTTTGAAGACAGCATCAAAAAAAGCTTTTCCTGGTCCAGCCTACTGTCAACCAAATAAGACGTACACTATCAATTAGTGTTCTAGCAAGAAAGGCATGTAACCTATTAAATCTGTGCTTACTTTCCATCTTCCACACATTGCCACTTTAGATTCTGCATATTTACAAATTTGAATAAGTCATCAAGAAATGTTCTAGTGAGACAATCTATCTAAATTTATGCTTAGCAATCCACATTTTCCTTAACATGGTGAGGAAATAATAGTCATCAACTAACTAGACCTACCTGAAGGGACAGCCCAAAAGCCAGAAAATCCTCGAAAATGATCTATCCGAAATTCATCATAGAGATCAAGTGCACGGTTGATTCTTTTTATCCACCATGCAAAACCATTCTCCTCCATAGCTCTCCAGTCATATAAAGGGCTGTCATGTAGATAGAGAATCCAAAAGAATTAGTGTATACACTATATTTTTGCTTCAATAAAGTAACGAATAGAAAGCAAAATTAAGTAAGCTCCTGTGGTGGTCCTTGTTCAACGTTCCACTAATCAAGACAAAACCCTCAAATTAACTGCATCTTAATAAGCACATAAGACATTGAATCCCACCTCTGCCAGTTCTTTTAAGAGCAGTTATGTCATTGAAAATTGATATTGGATAAATCATCGATGCATGACATATATTCTTCTAAATCAATATTGGCATGGTATAATACATAACAGCATGGTGGATCATAATATCTATCCTAATCCATTCTTAAGCTTAAAATGAACAGGATAGGATCTCGAAGCAAAAAAAAAGAAAAAAGAGAGAGAGAGAGAAAGCAATATATTACTAAAAATCTCTCAAATCTCAATAACTATCAAAAGCATGGATATAAAAGAAGATTCTCAATGTAATTAGATGCTCTAAACTCTAAAGTAGTGTAAGCTAAAAATATTTGGTCAGTGAACTGAATGCAGGGAGGCAATACAAAGAAAGAAGAAAAAGGGATTAGATAAGAAGATATATTCTTGAACGAATTTGATGTGCATGTCGTGTAAAAAGACTCATGTCCATCAAATAAATGACAAATCAATTTCATTATCAAAGAAGTCAGGAACTACTCTGAGAGGATATGAATATCGAAAGAATCAGTCTGTCATGGAATATTAACCTGCCCCACAGTTGTCCTGTTTCACTGAAGGCGTCAGGTGGCACACCACTTACAAGAATCGGAAAACCACTTCTGTCCTGAAGCAGAGAGAAAATGAGTAGTAAAGACGAGCACCTTAGCCAGTCTGATCACTTGACCATGTTAATGGAACATACCAGCAAGAATGATTTTCTATTAGCCCAAACATCAGCACTATGATAACCCACATAAATAGGCATGTCGCCAATTATCTTAATTCCCAATTTTCGTGCATGCTGACGAACCTTTTGCCATTGTCTTTGGAACAAGAATTGTTGAGCAACAAATATGTCTATCTGCATGATGAAGAACATACTCCTCAGATGACATAATGGAAAATTAATTTTGGTTGTTTTTAACTGGCTATAGAATCACAAGGTACTTACAAAGTCCTCATGCTTTCGGTACACATCTTCCAAAGCTCCAAGGTGGCGATTTTTTAAAGGATCGGGCCATTCATTCCAGGAAAATGCATTAACATTGTGATCAATTGCAGCAAAGAGAGCTGCATCTTCAAGCCAAGCTAAGTAGAATGACACAAAATATATTTCAATTATGATGATAAGTAATTCAATCCACAAAAACAAAAAAGAGCTGCATGTATCATGTACAGAGAAAAGATTCATGTAAATATACTGTTCTTCCAAATGCTGGTTTTATTATATTAATATATGAACCAGTTATGGATCTTAGTTTGACTTGTAATATTACCATCCAACATGGCTCAACAGCAGGAAAAAATCCTAGCCAACCATTTTGGACCTTCTGATGTTATTGTGGTATTATGTGGTCATGCCAAACCATATTTGTTCTTCCAACAAATGGTGAACAACTATCCATTACTGAGTACAAAAACAGTTCAGCAACGATGCTGCAAAATCAACATTGCAATGAGAAATGTTTACTTGAAATGCTAGGATCCTTCCGGAAATCATTGAGCTGCTGTTTGAGCTCCCCTTGGCTTAGAAGAAGCCTCTTTGCTGCCTGATAAAGAAATAGCATTTAGCCAAAAATGATCATCCACCAGAATCTCCCAATCATCATATAACTTAAAATTTTGTTAATTTCGATGGGTGTGATAAAGAATAATGAACTATGCACAGATCAGGATAGCTAGCTCAAAGTTAAATTTATTAATTAAAAGGGCACGCATGTCCAATTCTAACCAGGACATACAAAAAAAATGAGATGCATATATAAAAATAAGTCATGATCAATTGCATAAATCTCTTTATGCCGTAAAATGGGTTTCATTTATTAAATTGGAGTATTTCACAAATAGGTCTTCCATGGAATAAGTAGATTCATAATTTTGTATAATTGTTTGATGTGGTAACAGGGGTCCATAGTGCATTTCCTTCAATGAGGGGAAGTGACTAGTAACACTTATTTATGCAACAATGTAACTGGTGGTGGACTATATACAAAGCATTTGTGCCAGAAATATACTACAAAATCCTTTCTTGTACAAAATTTGGTGCATGAAAATCTAAGTGCTTCTGGTGGTGAAGTAGTAAGATGGCATAACAGTTCTTCTTAAGTTCAATTCAAAAGAATAATAACCTTAAAGGTGGTTCTGATATGAACAATTGAAATATATCAGCCTATAGATTTGTCTCAAAAACCTAGGTTTAGGAAAACTTCAACCAATCAGCTTATTCTCAGCCTATTAAACATAAATTGTCAGACAGTATTGAAAATTATTACACCAAAAGGTTAAATCCATAGAGCGAATATTGCACTCGACAATGTTCCTCATGCAACATCGGCCAAAAATGTCTAAAGTTATTCTACCAACCTTTGCTATCAAAGGGTCCTTTAAATCTTCAACTGTTTTAAAGTCAACATGCTCCACATCCCTAGAAATGAAAAAAGAACATGTGACAACATAAATGGGCAGACCCAAAAATCAAACCAAGCAATTTGCAAACTCACATTGATTCTGGAAGTTCATTCTTCATCAATAAACCATCCTGGACTAGCTCTATAAGAGAAATCAGAAGGGTATTGCCACAATTAGCGTCCTGCAGAAAACCATTCGATGGCACACATGACTCAAACTGTTTTTGACGTAGAAAAAAATAACGACAAAAATTGGAACTGCAAACGCTAATCGAAAAACAAGTATTTCATGATCTTTCCATTTAAAATTGTATGACTACACGTACCTGGCCAGAGTAGGGTGATCCATCTTCCCTGGACTTCCTTCCTGGAGGAACAAGTGGTAAAACCTACAGAACATAACAAATTATATGAGTTTTAGATATTCCAGAGTGCTCTGTGAATGAAAATAGCTTTGCAAACAAAAATGGAACAGGAAAAAAAAAGGAAAAAGGCCCACTTTGCCAATGTCATCATGGGAAGCCCTGATTGTACTTTATTAATTTGGCCAAGAATCACACCACAACCATGGGACCAAACAAACACCTGATGCTAAGTTTCCAGATCGGGCAAGTTCAAGGCTTATTTAAAAAGAATTAAAGAAGAAAAGGATTTCTTGACATGGCAAATCCACCATCAGCACATAATGACTTTGAAGGAGAAAGAAACATTAGCTACCAGAATTGGGCAAGCGATCATTCCAAGTCCCAACTCCCTCAACGACAGCAACATCATAGAAGAAACTTCAAGAGTCACATAAAAGAAATCAAGGAACGGAATAAGACGATGGAGAGAGGGGTCTCGGACCTGCCAAACTGATGCGCCAGCTGCGTGGAGCCAATCCAAGAAGCGGATGGCCTCGTCGCCGAGATCCCCGATCCCGTGCGGGCCAGGCAGGGAGGTCGGGTGGAGCAGCACCCCGGCCCTCCGCCGCCGCCTCGGATCCACCGCCGGGAACCGCGTATCGTAGTCCTCTGGGAGGTCCTCCCCAGTACGGACGGCATTCGCCACCGCAGTGGCGGACGCCATCGGGCGTCGATCATGAGACCGCCGGCTGCTCCAGCTCCGGGAACGTTCCGCCGACGAGGATCGGATCGGCCGGGCGGGGAGCGAGAGGGCGGCGGTCCGGCGAGGGGTGATGAAGGCGGCGAGGACGCCCGGGGGGAGGGCAAATGCGACCTGGGAAAGAGCCATTGGAGATTGTAGAGAGAACGGCGCGCAAGGCGAGTGATATAAAAGGCCAAAGATGTGACATCGTGTCGCGTGATCCTAAACCACCGTCTTCGCCAACGACTCCCCGGGACGAGGTGATGTGCAGCTCACCTGTCTCGACCAAGGCAAGCAACTGGGTCTTGATGAATGGGCCCCGCGGCCTGAACCAACGTCGGGGATTGCCGCCACCTGGCCTAGTAATAGAAACAGCTTCTCGCACCCAGGACAGGCACCCAACACACTTCCCGTGGACCCCATAGCTCGGACCTTGTTTAGGCCACCGCTCGGACATTATTGGGTTTTGTTTAGGCCCACCGCTCGGAGCTTGAAATCGAACCACGTGACATGTAAATGTTTTAATGGGGCTTTAAACCGTAGGAAACTCTACAATTTTTTTTCTTCTTATTTTTAACATATTTCTCTCCCTATTTTGACATTACAAAATTATTTGAAGCACACCAATAGATTTGAATTTTGAAACATCTACTGATAATATATATAATTTTTATCTAAATTATCTAAACATTTTATCCTCCTCTAAAAAGTTAGCATGCCTAATCATTGGCACTAAAGAAAGAAAAGAAAAATAGCATGCCTCCAAGCCACAGCCAACTTTGGTACTTTGTTCTTGCGTGAACCGATCACCTAAATGATTGGCATCATGTACTAAATGAATGAGACACGAGTAGCAACATCGACACTCATCATTACCATCTATACTGAGATTCCCTCAAACATCCAATCAATAGTGAGAATTTTGTCTCAGTTATGTGCCTAGGGAGATTAACACTACAGTTCATAGAGTTGCAAACTTCTGTAGAGAGCCAAGTGCTCCAACCTCTTGCTGCACAGTTTTTGAATATGTAGTGATACTATGTCTCCTTTTTTGTTTCAAAAAAAAAAAAACACTCGTCATTACCCGTAATTTCATTCCTTTTTATGCAAGCGAAACTTGCAGTTCTCTTATTAAAATATGTTCCCAAACCATGACAAATGGATTCTAATCACCAGTTTCTCCAAGGATTTTTTTCCTGTGCTTATTGGATAGGTAAAATATCATAATTTTGGTCAGAATTAATAAAAGCATACAACAATTGAAGGGATCCGCCTTGCTCTACACGCTTAATAACGTCTTACTGATACTAAATGGGGCCTTAAACTTCATAAAAATCTACTGAGGCACTGGAATAGCGACAATGATCACCTACTTTTGTTTGACATCTTATGTTCCTCTTTCCTGCTATGGGCTGTTGATCCATTCAAGAAAATGAGATGAACCAAGGAGAAAGGAGAGCTTTTGCTGTAAGCTTTGCATGCTGAATTAACTGCACTTTATGCTTAAGACACTAATCAGATAACCTTATGCAAGGATTTTAGATCATATTTCTGAAATTGTATCAACCACTCCACTTCCCTGTTGTAAGACTTGTAAGTTGTAATATACCTACCTAAGGACTGCTCTAAACTCTTAGGAAAGGCAGCTTAAGATCAATATCTGGGGCCTGCATAATAACCATTTGCTGTGATAATTAACCTAAGAATGAGGGAAAGCACATCTCAGATAGGTGACAAATCTACATTGTCAAGTTTTGCAACCACTATATAATTATTTTCTAGGAATCATAGGGCAATTATTTTGCCCATTATTAAGATACTCACATGAGAAGAAGCTTCTTCATAATTTTTGATCCACGGAAGATCAGTAACACTTCTTTTATAGATAGCGACTGCTGCCACAATTAATCATGCTTCATGTGAATACCATAAGCTAAATAGGACACCGAAGGTGACTGTCTTTAGCATGTTAATAGGATCCAGTCAATTAAAAATTCTTTGTTTTGAGGCAAAACTTCAAGCCACAGAGATGGAAACCAGAACTCCAAGAGCATATCTGACAATTGGATGTTTCGGTCATGTGAATTAACAGTACCCACTCAAGCTGTGTTTCTTCGGAGCATTACTTTGTTTAACATCCCAACCAGCTGTTACCAAGTCTGCCTAACTACATTCCCAGTAAGCCACAAAATTTCTGCAAGATCCAAACTAACATCACATTTCTTACACTTAGAAGAGTATAGAGTACCTCATGGTGGAGAGTAGTACTCTCAAACAAGGATTTAAATCACATTCTGATACCAATTTCAATAGTTGGTCAAAATGATATGGTATCGACATACATATAGGGGGGTTTAAGGCTTCCAGTATCAATTGAAAAAATGATAAAAGGAATTAGATACCAAGAAGGTTTCAATCTTTGGTCAGACCAGTAACCACCAATTGGTAGGTATCAGTCGACCGGCACCTCGATATCTTTCTCTTGAATTATCCCGCTGGTTTTGTTAAGCACCTAAAGACGACGTCAATGTAACTTCTTGTTGCAAGACAAGGCTGGCCTAAGGATGACATGTTAATACCAACCATGTCAAGATATGATTTCAAACTAACCCCTAAACCCCCAACTCTAAACCCCCTAAGCCCCAAATCCCTAAACTCCAAACCACTAAAACCCTTAACCCCCAATCGCTAACCCATAAACCCTAATCCCTAATTTCTAAACCCTAAACCCTATTCAAAGAGGAAAATGTAATTTGGATGTGTTTCTACTTCTCCTTTCATCTTTATCCCATCTCTTCTGCAAACATCACAGCTCATCTGTTTCCAAGGTGATCACCACTATCAACTACTCTTGGTGTCATTCTTAGCCTCATCACCACATTCACTCCAACATCTTGAAAGCTTGCAGCATCCATGGCCACCAATATCTACCTCAAACTCGTACGATACTAGTACCCCTGAGAGAGTCCAGCTTCCCTCGTCCGCTAGTGATCCATGGAGCGTTCGAGCCACCCACTAGATCCTCACTACGGATCCACCATCCATCACGACCAACCTAATCCAAAAAAGCAACCAAATTTAAGAACCCTGACGCCAGTTCCGGAATACGGGTTGCTCCGACTCCAAGAACTCGACCAAATTCCAAGAACACCAAGAAACTGAGACTAACCACAACATTTGTGATAAAAAAAGGATCCGAACAAGCAAGAGAACTGCAAGCGAGGCATCACGAAGAGGAAGAGAAGGAGAAGAACCTGGAAGACGACGCAGGCGAATCTGGGGTAGCGAACATGGGAGGAGACGGCTCAATCGAAGACGGAGAAGGAGAGAAGAGGAAGAAGAAGAAGAGGAGGCGAAGCATCCAATTCCGTCTCATCGCTCGGGTTTGGGCGGTTTCTCCCTTTCCTTTCGAGATTCGAAATATATATATATATATATATATATATATATATATATATATATATATATATATATATATATATATATATATATATATATATTACTGTTTAAAAATATATATATATATATATATATATATATTTATGGAAAATCACTAATTTTGGAGGAATACACAATGCAATTTTACCATAAAAATTACTGTTTAATCACAGAAATTGGTAATTTCTAATATCTCTTTGTACAGTCACCTTATTGTTAAAATAAAAAAGCTTGATAATCTAAAAGAGTACACTAACAATAAAAAAAGACTGAAACATTTCTTTAGTATTTATCGTATTGGAATGGCCACATCCAACATATGTTCTCTTTGCACTGTATTCAGTCATTGTTATTGCTAATAAGACACCTCAAAAGAAACTACAGAATGGACTGAATTGTTTAATTATATCAGCAAAAGGAAGTGTTACTGTTAGTTCAATATTTACATCACATGAACTTCCTTAATCTTGCAGTCTATAGGAGTTCTTAGGCAAATGGAAACTGAAGCAAAACTTAAAAAGGACAACTCTAGTTATGCCGTCTTAGTGCACACATATCTCAATTGTCACTAGCAAGAAGTAGACTACAAGATCACTGGATGAAAAAACCGAGAACACCATGAATCTAGCTGTTCAACAGGAAGCTGAGAGGATATCACTATGTTACGTATTGTTTCCAAACTATTAGGATGTTTTCAGATTGCCAAGATGACTTGAAGTTCTAATTCCAATATCGACTACCATCATCGAAGATTGTAAGACTGCTATCCATCCAGGTCCTTGAATCCTTTTCATGCTCCGTCTCAGCAAAGGTCACAAACCGATTGCTCTTTGAAGATTTTGATTCCTTCTCAGCATTCAATTTACTGAATCTCACATGTTTGTTGCCTTTCCCGGACTTGGATTCCCTTTCAGCCTCACCCTCGTTGAAGGTCACACGCTTGTGGCTCTTCTTCGACTTTGGCCCACCTCCAGCCTTCAAAACAAGAAGACTTCAGTGCTGATATTTCTATGATCCATTAGAGATTCACGCAAACTGTGGAACTTCTTTCAATGATCCACAGGAAGTCGTCTTCATTCAGAATTGTATACAATATGAAAAAAGAGAATATTCAAATTCCTTAAGACAGCATAATTTCCAACATTTTGAAGACCAAAACAATCTACTTGGAGGTAAAACAATGAGATTTGAGACCTGATAGAGGTATGATGACAAAATCTGACTTAACAAAACCCAAAAATGACATGATAGAGTGAGGCTTTCGTCGAGTTGATGCATCTCTGAAACAATTTTCTGTGAAGGGGTCTCATGTGCAATTGCCAAATAGGATCATTACCAACCTAGTATATATCATGCTTGGCAACACATACAGATAACCAATTAATAATGTTAACAGCAATTTTCTGATCCTAAAATCAGGGAGACTTGGAAATGCATACTTATTATCTTACAGCAGGTTGGGTTTGTATTGGATCTCGTCAAGCAATCCACGGAAGAAACACACATACCAGAATGATAGAATAATACCCCACTAGGCATGGGCTAATTAGATACACATTAAAACATCTTTCTTTTCTTTATCTTTTTTCTAATAATGACATATCTAGATCACAGCCACCAACAGAATTGCACAGGTCAAGTATTTGGAGTGCCACCTCTACGAGTACTCGAACTCGAACCTACAACCTCTTCAAGATGAAGAGGAGAACCAAGTCCACTAAAAAGACTCAAGCTATTACTTACGGTCCCACATTCAGCTTTGACACAAAAAATTCTCGACAAAGAACTAGAGGGATTTTGGACATACCTTGTTTATAAGCTTCTCAAATGCTTCAGGTCCATTTTCTTCAATGAATTTCTCTGCAGCTACTAAAACATCGTCTGGCTTACTGAAGATACCTTTATCTGGAGGGACATACCATATGTTCACTGTCTGATGATTCAAAACCAGTGGCCTCACAAAACGTTCATAAACATATGCAGCACCACTGAAGTATGGCAAAACCAACCAGCAACTGAAAGTCAGCTTTGCATAAGGCCAAAAGGGGAGCCTGCAACAAGAAATAACATTGCAGCTAAATTTTAGTCCATACTAACTAAGTTCATTTAACTTACAAATTCTAGTTATTATTTAGATACTCGAAAGAAATCATAACCTGCCCAAGGAAAATCATGTCTTTACAGGAGCAGTTAAAGATGGCAAACCATACAAAGCAAATAAGTTCATACATATATGAAACTCATTTATCAACAGATAGAAGTTTCAGAGTCTGCAAGCCGTTATCCAAAAGGGAAAAGAATAATAACCAGTTGTAAAAAAGAATTATAGACAGCGTAAAAAAGTGAAGCAACTTAGTTAGCTATATATTTCTACACCGCCTACTTATAAAACTGCAAAAGAAATTAAATATCTGGATCTAGGTTTTCAAGAAGAAAAAATTAGCCAAAGTTACCATCTGCACATCCTACCATCTTAAAACAGCCTCTCAACATTCAATGGTCATGCATGGTCAAAAAAATCACAAAGGATGCAACATAAAAAGAAAATAAAATACTGTAAGCTGCGAAACAATACATGTAATTGCCTAAACATGTCAAGTTGGTTACAGTATCCGACAAGGAGTAAGTTCACCAAGCAAAAAAAATTATTATTGCCTTAGCTTTAATGGATCAAAGAGATTTAACAAAATAAAATTTGAGAATGGTTATCGCTGGTCAAGTCACAAGTACCGGCCATCAATATCACGAAAATTGAAATTTTAGCCAAAAGACAGAAGAAAACAAGAAATAAATAGATCCATATAGTAAGAAATACATGATAGGCATCTTCCATAAAGTAATTACCACTCTATGATTTTCGCAAATGTCAACTCAAAGATTGTAAGTAAAGAATACAACACCCAGTAAGTAAGCCACTGCTGATCATCTACAGGAGATTTAGATTCTATTGCCCTCACTGAAGCATACCTGCCAAAACAGAGAAGCACTTTCTCATTTATAAGCCATTTGTGAAATAAGAAAATTCTATCATATTGCACTTAATTGTTCAGAATGGTACTCACAAAGGATAGGCAAGTGTAACCAGAGGCCTGTAAAATGCAAAAGCAGTGTGTCAGAGTAAGGAACAATTCCTACAATACAACATTTATGGAAGTAACAATATTACAGTTGACAAAATTGCTTTTGATATTATTCTCAAGTGCGAAGACAAGTAGAAATTTCAATACCAATTAAACAGTGTCTGGCTGGTTCTTAAATGAAGAAGTAAAAAAACAGTCATCATTTTTAGCTGAAAGAGGTGCATATAAATATGACTCTCCAACTCTTCTAATGGCAAATAATACATCAAAGCTTCATTAACTGTATATTCTCTGCTATTGTGAAACAGCAATAATAGTAAATGTCCACCAATGATCCAAACCACGAAGCTTCTTCTTTAACTAATTTTTAAAAATGTCAAAGCAATCCTTTTGTGATTATAAGTTATATAAATATCAAACCAGTTCACCTTTCTAAATGTGCTATTAAGAAACGTAGATGTCATAGCATCTACAACAGTCATGCTAAAATAGCTAAAGAAATTTAACGCCAACAAGACTTAGAGTCCAATACATTCAACAAGTTTAAAAATGAGTTGGAGTTTAACAAATTAGGAGCTCAATGAAATACACATAATTTCATTAACGTCACCAAAAAAATTTCTAAAGGTACACTTAGATATAGCGAATCTGGAAGTTAATGGAAAAAAGAAAGAGATCATAATTAACCGTACTAAAAGAAAGACAATTCACTGTACTAAAATAGCACTGACCTTTTATTCATTTAACACCAATAAAAAGAACAACATTCTGTAGCTTATGGTAAACTAAGCACGATTACATTAACGCCAACAACCATATGCTGAATAAACACGGAAGAAGAATTAATGCCTGCATACGCTGTTATTCAATAGAAAGAGGGACCAAAATCTGTGTTTGGACACGAACAGGGCCTTTTCCTAGGGGATGACTTCGTCCTTTATCTTGAAGAGTTTCTAGGTTTGAATGCTTGTGAAGATTGCGTCCAAGTCTTTGACTCGTGTAACACTCTAGGATGGCAGCGATTCACTCTGTGATCTCTAAAAGAAGATAATTGCGATTTCCTTTTTCTTTCCCGAACAAAACTCGCTTAAAGCTTGAATTCGAACAGAAAGCACATTCATGGGCCGCGAGTTTAGATGCTCTCATAACTTAGACTCAAAGAGGGACGATTATTTCCCCCAAAGTTTTGATATTTAGCTAGAAGATAAACCAAAATAAGATTTTAAGATATCAGAATTCGCCAGAAAGAAAGCAGCACCTTTAACACCCAAGCATCAAAATTTAAGAAAACAAGACCAAAAAGATCCCTTCTTTTTCTTGGTTGATTCCGAAGCAAGTGGCGAACTTTCCCGACAACTCGTAAAGAAGGTTGATTGAATCGAACAAAAATCACAGAAAAAAGGTAGAAATTTCCGACAGGAGCAGAAGAACAAACTAATGCCAGGACGTGACAGAAAAATCTCAACACCACCAGCAAATGGAGCTTGATTTGTTGAAGGGACACTTACCCGGCGAGAACATCGAAGTTCATAGCAAGAAACCTAAACAGAGCACCGGAACCCATTCCTTCTTTTCGCGTGCTTCACACCAACTCCACTCTCGGTTGCTCGAACGCCTGGAGGAAGTCCCACGCTTCTCACTCTCGCGTTCCCTAAGTAGGTAACAGACGTGACGAATTTCCATCCTCTCTCTCCCTACTTTCCGAAAAGGCGTGTCCCGATGATATTAAAGGCTGCATGACTATTGCAAAGAGGGCCAATCAACGCAAAACGATACCGTGGGAGTATATTTAACACCACAGCCGCTTCATCGAAGCCGACGAGGGATCTGCCTTCGTCCCGGGCTTTAAGATTCGCGCCCAAACTTTCCCTCGTATGATGTGCCGGAGGGCCTCGCGCTTTAAGAGTCGCACACGAACTTGATCGTATGATCGGTGGGGACATCTTACGATTGCGCAAGGGACCCGCACGTCGGCCACACGATCGCAGACGTGGTTGGTGTTTTGGTGCTGCCTGTGGGACCCACACGGCCGAATCAACCGGGACGAACTACCCGCCCAACTGAATCGTAATCCGACTCCGAATCCGAATCAGACCCAGCAACCTTCTTACCCGAACCCGTCCGACACCCAATTGATAAAATTACATACTTATCCCTCAAGGTATTTTTTTTATGTTTAGCCTTCAAAATTCAAGCTTAAAATATAGACCCTAAAAAACTTCCCAAGACACACCATTGGCATGAATGAGCTCTTCATATCCTCGAGTTCAAAAAGCTTCACACCTAAGCCAAAAGGGAAAAGTTAAGAAAAGGAAGGCAGAAATAAAGCATAAAACACAAACTTGCAACAGATGATTATACTTGACTGCTTCTCATAAGCAATCAAGGTAGAGGTACCTAATAAGTTTTTGGATAATTATTAGTCAGAGTAAGAGAGAAGGAAATTACTACCTGAGTCAGTTCAAAAGAAGGTTTAAGTTGACATCAGTAGAAGATTCATCTGCAATGTGAACATTCAACCTTCTTCTTCTGAGAATCTAAATTCTTGTTCAGAAGCATTAAGCAACCTAACATGGAGATCTCAGCAATTGTAAGAACAACATTCATCACCCATCATTTTGGAGACTCGATTGCTGCTGCAAGACTACCAAACCTGCATTTATATCCATCTATGTTGTGGTACCTTCCGGTGTCAAATAATTTATTGATATTTCTCATAGGCTTTCACATGCTTTTGCCACTCTGTTGACCTTTTTTATAAGATTTGACTGAGAACCCAGGCACAGAATCACTAACTATTCTAGGTGGAATGGTATTTTACCTCTGAGGGAATGAAAAGCTTTCAAGGATGAAGCTTAGTTCCCACAGGATGGAAAGAATGAACCCAGGGAATAAAAAGAAGAAACATTGTCGTCAGTTCTCACTGTTTGGATCCCCTGGAATCAAGCACCTTGAACGAAGCGAGACATATCAAAGGCTCAGGTTGGGTATGGAAGCTTAATTGATCCAAAAACACCTACAACTGCAGGAACACCTAATTCTAGTGTGAAATAAATATACCTGTGCCTCATGAGAGTCACTTGGTGCAAATGACATGGCTAACACATTTTTTTAATAATTAAGCCAGCAACCTAATGCGATCAATCGTACGAAGTCATATGCGAAGCAATGGCCAAAAGTTTCCAAGAAAATAAGTTTCAGACAACAAAATTTATCAAAAGAAAGGGTTTAAGACAGATGTTGCTTACCCCATCGCCAGTGCCTGATGCAAGTTCTGATGGTTCCATTACCAATTGGAATAACAGATGCAAGTTGGTCAATATATTTATCTTCATCATGAGGGAATTGCATTCATCCATCGTCGAAAACTGAATACATTGCGCTGATGCTGAACTCAGTTCTGAACAGCCTTTTCAACTGTCGAGCTCTAGTATGGACTTCAGCATTGTGAACATGATCATGGCTCTTAGGCCATGGAATAAGGGTAACATACCCCTTAGGAGCCAGTATAAGACAATAGAGTTTCTCCTTATCAGTTAGACACTTCCTCTCTCTGTAGATCATGTTCTCTCAAGGAAAGGCCATCGCCACCGGCTTTTGATCCTGGCGAAGAGGGAAGTCGGTGTAATGTTCACGGCCTGCCTCAAATTCTTTTTTACTTCTGAATTGCCTAGATCACTCGGGCTGCCTGATCCACCATGGCGGTTCTCGAAGTTTAGATTCAGTGAGATCATGCATTTTGTCTGCTGAGTAATAAGGGATATGTTCACCCTTTCAATGCCACTCCTCTGCCATGCACCCTAACATAGAAGAAGAAACAGAGACCAACAGTGATACTCATCGATAACGATCTCCTGGTCCTTCCCTCACCTGAAGTCAACTTTATGTCTATGGTGTGTGCCTGAAAGATATCCTAAGATGGCTTAGAACTGATCCAAATTCCAGTCAAATAATCAACTACTATCAGTTTATATCAAAGTAGGAAAAAACAAATGGCTACAGAACCACTACAAAAACCATACTAATTCCAAGGAAAACAAATGAGAAACAAAAATGTGACTTATTTCAGCTAAGAAGAAAGAAAATGCTTACCATCATAAAGGCAACACAACTATCCAGCAACTATTTCCAAGAGCTAAACAAGCAATTAATGGCATCTTAAAGAACCTCTAGATTGACACAAAACAAGTATCTTGAACCCTGCATTAAATTTGCTTTTTCTCTATTAACAGAGAAGCAGTTCGCTTAAGCAACAAATATAAGTCCCAAATTGAAACCAAGCAATCCTTTATCTTACTTACACGAGCTAAGAAAGCAAGAACAGCCTTCCATATCTTACGGCAAATTCTCCTTATTTAAGCAGTTATTCAGCAATCTAAGCGCTAGAATGGGATTCCAACTAAAGTCAACCAGTAATTTCCTCCTGCATTCAACAAATCCACAAGGTCTACGCATCACGCCCTAAGATTCTTATGGACAGCTCAAAATCCAAGCAAATCAGGAAAAGAAAAACGAATCGAACGAAGAGAAAAAGAGTCTGCGGCGGTGGAATTCGAATCGTCGTCTTACCGACCCGAAGGGAGACGATCGAAGCGGATCATCGACCAAAAGAGATCGAGAGCGACCTACTCACCTCCGCTTTCTGCAGCGTCCGATAAACCCCTCGATTCCGTCGATTTTTCGATTCAGAAAAAGAAATAAAGATCCCATCCTTCGCCATCTCCATGATCTCGATTCGACACGGTTGTTCCTAAGCAAGAAGAAGCGTCGAGTTGCTATTGGAACTGCTAATCTCACGAATTATTCGCGCTAGCGTAGGATCGGATCTAAGGCCTAAATCGCAGAACAACGTAGAGTAGCCGTGACAAGCGTCCACGTATTCCTGCGTCTCGTAGGCGGGATTTTTTTGTCCCTCGACCGATCAGCTGCAACTTCAGGACCCACACGCATCATAAAGAACAGATGAAGTGATGACACGTGGCAGTCCGTGCAGAGTCTCTTCAATATTAATATATTAATAAGAATATTAAGATGGAATCTTAGGATCGTATAGTATTTATTGATCGACTCTAATAGATGTAAGTAACTCTCTACTTTATGTCATAGCAATTATTCCCACATAAAGATGGGGTGAAGGTTGCATTCAACAGGACGAACCCAAACCAAGCTTGCATGGGCATGCACGGTTTAGTAGGAGGCCTCATTCATGGTGCTGTACCTGCTCTGGCCAATCCCTCTATGCCTCCGTTTCAAGGTTGGCTGCACATGGTGGTGTCTTGTCCCTTCAAGACGACTGCAGAAGGAGGGGAGGACGATGGGAACGACACCTCACCATGCACGACTGTGCAAGCAGCACCTGTTGCTACCCCTTCGAACGAAGCTTCCTTAGCTTTCTGATGATGCCACAGAGGAGTGTTCGATGGAGCAGGAGCGAGCACGGCCTCTCATGTCCTCTGCCATGAGCCGGCTTACACCCATGCATGCGCACAGTAAACGCGGCGTCTCCCAAGTGAAGTTTTCTGTAAGTTATCTTCCTATCTCGCTTTTATCTCTATCTGGTGATGAAGGAGATCACTCCTTTGCTGCTGCTTCTTCTTGGCTCTCAGCTTTGAAGCCGGTCACATGTGAGGTTGGGTCGGCAGCATTTAATGCTGCCATAGCATTCAAGACGCTCAGCTCGGAGTTGATTCCCAAAGGCTGCACTGCAATGGTTTCCATTTGCTCATGTTGCTCATGCAATCCACGAGTCTTTTAGATCCATCCTTTTTCTTCACAGGTGATGGTAGTTTTGTGAGTAGAAAAAGATCAAAACACTTCACATGTGATGCATTTAAGACCCACTGAAATGTTTTCTTGTCTGCATAAGATAGTCAATCCACCATCTGCTGTCGATATGATTGATGTAGATATTTCTGGTGATTAAGAATGGAAATTTATGGGGCGACTCAAAGCGATAGATTCGAGTAAAGAATCATAGGATAAATAAACAAAGTCTCGATCAATAGATAGATAATTACATTCTCATATAATCGATACGACTAAGCAAGCTTTTTTACACTTGTTTGACTATGTTGAGTACCACAAGGATGAACCGTGATGAGCAGTCCAATTGCCAAGTACGAACACGCATCCCTTGAGAACAATTCACATGTAATCTGTCGCCATGTCAAGAAAGTTCTCTTGCTTTTGCCCCGCATCTTCGTCGAGCAACCATGACTCGAGCAACGACAATGGCGCTTGCGCCTCCGACCCCTCCGGCGTGGAGTCGTGGAGCCCCAACAGCGACTCGAGCGGCTCCGGCGACATGATGCAGTTGGAAGAGCTGGCGCTTGCGCTCCCCTGGCTCGACGCTGTGTCGGCCCGAACGCTGGCCGAGCTCGCCTGAGCAACGCCGGGCTTTGACGAAGTACCACTCATCCAACCTGCAAGAAGCCGAGATATGTTCTCGGTGCTCGACGCGTAGGTCGAAGAAGGGCGACTGCTCAGGCTGCGGTCAAAGGGTGACGCCTTCGATTCCTTATCCATGGACAAGGCCTGGGACAGAGCTCGCTTCGCCATGTCGACGTCGGTCTGGAGACACCTCTCCCACTGGCCTTTGGAAATGGAACGACGGCCCGACTGCACGCTGCCGATCGGGGAATCGGTGCCGCCGATCTCAAGCTTCCGAAGCTTCTTCTTCAGATACGTGTTCCAGTAGTTCTTGATGTCGTTGTCTGTCCTCTCCGGTAGATACGAAGCTATGGCTGCCCATCTGCATTCCAGCAACACCACTGGCATCAGTACATTGAATCGTAAGAAGCAGGATCAAAGTCATCATCTCACGTCCTCTGTTCTTGACCTGTTGCCTAGAAGAGATTGGAGATGAACTATAAGCTTCTCCTCCTGATCGGTGAAGTTCCCACGCTTGATCCCAGGCCTGAGGTAGTTTGTCCACCTTAGCCTGCAGCTCTTACTGCATCGCCTCAGCCCTGTTAAGGAAACAAGACATGAGAAGAGCTACTACAAGCCAAACCAGAGTAGAAGAATACTGCATCCTGAACTACTGTACCAGTGTTGGGAGGAATAGCTCTCCAATTCCCTGGACCATGCTGTTGGATGTAGGAGACCAAGGTTATGTCTTCTTCTGGTGTCCAAGGTCCTTTCTTCACGCCATCTTTGTCACAGCATGGTGGTCTTCCCATCTCACACCTCTAAAGACACAGTAAGGGAGAAAGAAAGAAGGGTTCACAACCATGGACAAATGAGGCTGTTGTTTCCGAGCCATCTAGGGGTAGATATATATATATACAAAGAGAGAGAGAGAGAGAGAGAGAGAGAACGGAGGCAGTGATCAGAACGCTCCGGGCCTCAGAAAGCAACGGGGAGAAGAGTCAAAAGGAGGACAGCAAATTGCATTTACACGGAGGTACCTTCAAAAGTCAGCTTGAGGGAGTTCCTCACAAAACCGCGTGTATTCAATGTGGTTCAGCCCTGATCTGATCCAACACCCCCTCTTCTTCTCGGGTTATCAGTACAGACTACGAAGCTGTAAAGCTCTTCTTTACTGCATCAGATCCAGCAATGGAATCTGGAAGTTTAGTCCCCACCTTGCTAGTCTCTCTTCTCATGAAGGAACCCTAACTCACTACAGAGTTGGTGGGTGCAGTACAGAAGAAAGAAAACCTTGTTCTGCAGCAGATTAGATTCTGGAAGCTGTACATTTTATTATGGGTTGGCGTAAATGCATCTCTCTGCTGCAGAGTTCATTGTTCACCTAACCAGGGAGCTGATGTACTAGCTTCGAAGTATATGGTGAAGAAGGTGAGCCAGAAGATGCTGCTAAAGCTCTCATCATCATTGAAGTGACGCAGGTGCATAGGCGTACAGGAGATGTAATACCATGACATTGTGGTCGGTCATTCTGCATGGTGCAAATTGGGCGGCAGGAAGAGGACAGCTTCCGTCTCCTACATGTCTCCTGGTGCCAACCTTTTCAATGAGGGATGGTGAAAGCTCTCGGTTCTTCCCTCCAACCATTAATCTTCCATTAGATTTCGGTGAGTGCTGCTTTAACTCGCTGAAAGTTGATCAGATAGAACACTGTTAAATCAGAATTTTGTTGTTCGATCTGGATGA